CTGGTGTCACTGAACCCAACACCAGAGCGAGGGAAGCAGGGGTTATCCTTCCTGGTTACCCGGTGGGGGAAACTGAGGCTGAGAGAGGATAGTGAGTTTTCCAAGGTCCCACCACAGTGGCATGTCTTTGCATCTGTGGTGAGTACAGCTTGGAGCAGGAACGGGAAGGCTAGTTTCTGGGGCAAGAGGATGAGAAAATCAAGTTCCTTGGTCATCAACTCTTTCCCAGCTAAATCCATTCCTGGTGAGTTGTAGGTGGAGAGATAGAAGATAGACTATGTCTTAGGAAGTGTTGGTCTTTCCTTAGACTCAAAATTAGGAGACCTCAGAGGTCAAATGACTTGAAATCAAGACAAGTACAATAATAACTCTAGGGTTCATTGAATACAGACTAAGTTCTTACAGAATCCCTAGTTCCTGAGTACCCTAGCTGGAAGCAGGTGATTATCAAGGCCTACTCTTGTGTCTCCCCAAACCCAGAACTCCCTCTTTCTTCTTTATTAGGTGATTCTCTCTACTAAGCCTAGCAGAGTGACAACAGCTCAGTCAATGCCATGGCCAAGCCCTTAAGCACACAGAGGGGCCCAAATATACCCAACAAACTTCCTTTTGGCCTCTGTTACCTTAAAAAAAAAAAGGAACTAATTACCTTATACTATAGTTAATTAACAACCACTCCATTTTGATTCACATGAAACCGTTCTGAGAAAGAGCTAAGAGCAGAGATTGTGAAAGAAACCTAAGATTTCTTCATAAAACAGAGGCCTTGATGGTATCGGGCCACCGGAAAGAGGGCTGCTGTTAACATCTCTTCAGAAACCCCCAATCCTGATAGAGGGTCTCCTGACCCTGAGTCAGAATCTCAGCTGGTACTTAGAGGAGGGCAGCCCTACAGCCCAGGCAGGGTCCCGCACATCGACTTGCAGGTTGAGCCAGAAAACAGACCTGTGATTTGTCTGCTCCCAGGTGATTGAGTCTGATTTTGTGACCTTGAACTTGACCATTTCAGCCACCAACAGGGGTTTGGTTTTCCTAACTCTCAAAAGGGACGGTTGGACTAAGAGATTTCTAAACTTCCCTTTTGCTCTAAAATCCTACGTATGATTCGGTGACCTTCAGTGACAGTCTAACCCACCTTAACTAAGAAGCTCAACGTTTGGGGTTCCCTTTTTGGGAGGGTTGGGTAACACTCGGTCGTTTCTCAGGGTCAGCTATAAAGGACCCTTCTGACTTCCTTTATGTTTAAAGATGCTGCTCAGGGAAAATAAAAAACAAACCTTTCCATGCAGGACTCATGGGGGATGGATGAACTCCAATCATTTTAGGGGGTCCAGTAGAGAGCACTGTTATTGTTTCTATTTGGAATTTGGAAGGAGTTATTAAATGCCTCCAAGTTCAGAGAATGTAATGTCAAAAGTGGTTGAATAAAACACTCCCTAAGCCTCTCTGTATTAGGGATTAAAGCAGCTCCTATTTGTTCAGATTCTTGGAAACTAATGAACAAAAAGCCTCCCTCTAGATGCAAGTGGGAGTCCCTTGGTAGCACAAACGGCTAACGTGCTCAGCTACTAACTGAAAAGTTGCAGTTCACATCTACCCAGATTCCTCAGAAGTCCTAGAGGCCTGCTTCTGAAACATCAGCCACACAAGTCACCACCATGGGTTTCATTTGACTCAATGGACAATTGGTTTGTAGACTTATGTGGGTTAGAGTTTTCTGTTGTTTCTGTGCCAAGACACAGATGGTGAAGCATTGCAGGTGATCAGAATATTTTCCTGACATGGTCTGGTCCCAGAGCCTTTGGAGCCCTTGTGCTTTCCAACAGGACTCCTATCCCACCCCAATGCAGTCATCCTGAAAGACTTGGGGTGGGTAATGAGTGGGGGG